CTCCCTCCCTCCCTCCCTCTCTCTCTCTCTCTCTCTCTCTCTATATATATATATATATATATATATATATATATATATATATATGAAATCACATGCATCTCATTTCTGTTGGACTTCCATCATCAGGAGGAGAGGCATTGATCCTACCCAGGAGAGGTAGAAGTAGTGCTCATTCTATGTAGTGTGCTCATTTTAGCCATGATTTGCAAGGGTCTTGGCATCAACGTTACTGAATTTCCTGACCTCAAAGCCTGAGGTTCCCAGCCATGGAATGAGAGCTTGGTTGATAGGAGGAATAATTGAAGAACAATAAAATGCTCCATTTTCTTTTCTAGAATCAAACTTATGCATTGGTCATTTCTCTGCATATCTATTTAACGGTTGTTAAATTAAATTGCTTTCTTCCAAGTGGTGATTTTTATGTGTATTTTTTTAAACCCATCTTCCTGGATTCCTTCATTCTGTCAACCTCTTGTGTGGCTTCAGGTTTCTAAGTGTGCATTTGAAATCTAAATGTCCAGAGAAGGAAGTTCCAAGGGATTCCCCCACTCTGTGTGTCCCATCCCTGAACTTATCAGGAACTTCTTTAAGGTTAAGATTTGAGTTTTGCTTTAATACGAGCTTAAGAGGTTCAGAATATTTTGCTTAGTGAATTCTAGGTGATATGTTATTTGCCTGACTAAATGGCACCATAGTACATAGATTCTTCCCAAAAATAAAAGGTAGAGAGTACTTAGGTGTCAGCTCTGAGATAGAGAAATGTGTCTTGATGGTAGGTCAGAGTTGGGGAGATATTCACTAGGAGTCTCTCACCCTGGAAAACCTGGTCAGTAGTTAGGATCTGCTACCCAGTTCTTCCATCACATCTTCAACATTGTCACACACTTGAGTATGATTTAGTTCAGACTCAGCACAGCTTAGTTTATCTTTAATTTGCACCCTAAATTTTTTAGAATCTGTCAGCTTCCCACCTTGAACTTCTCCAGAGCCTTGAATTTAGTTTTGGACTAGTTGGGCCTGGGGTGAAGACATAAGCCTGTTAATTTCTTCTCTGGGGGATTGCTCTGAGTCCATATATGACCCAATGCCATAACTTCTTGTGCCCACTCACTTGGTAATCCCTTGGCAAAAGTGGGTTGCAGAGCTGATAAAAAGGGAAACAAGTATGCCTGGGAAAGCCTGGTCCTTGATGTTTTGTAGTGGGGTGGAGTGAGGAACTTTGAACTGAGACATGAAGGAAGTGATGAGGCATGTTATATATCCATAAAGGGGAATGTTTCTCAACCAAGGCTGTTTGTGTACCCCAAGGGACACATGGGACTATTCAGAAGCAGTTTTGGTTGCCACTACCTTGGGGAGTTGCAGAGTATCATCAGCGTTAGGGAATAGAGGCCAGGGTATCCACTAGTGCTTAAGAATGACTACAGTTGGACTAGCCAGCAAGTTTGGGGACCACAGGAGGCAGTGGCAGAAAATTAATGCAGCTTAGGAAGGGATGAGGCCAGGCTGTACCTGTAAAGCATTATGAAGACTAACTTTTCTCTCAGCAACAATAGAGGCCATTTAGGTATCTGAGCTGAATTACTCTCTCTGACATCTCTCTGGCTGATGTACTATGAATTTAAGTGATGGCTTGGGCCATTGTAGCAATCCAGGTGAAAGATAATGATGCTTTAGGGTAGACCAAAATAGTTCAGGAGTTTGCTATTACTAGACTTGGTGTGTGTTTTGAGGATAGATTTAACACTGAATGCAGAATTTAGAGAAAGAAAGGAGAAAAGTGTTGCTGCAGTTTTTCATCTGAGTAACTGTAAGGAAGATTGGCATTTGCTCAGATGGGTGGGATAGTTTGCAGGCTTGAGGGGGTTTGTTTTTTGGTTGGTTGTTCTTCCATGTGTTTAGTGTGAGCTACCAATCTGGTATTTATATAGAGGTACTGAGTTAGATGGGTAAAAGTATGCAAATACTGAATTTAAGGGAGAGGTATGTCCTGGCAGTTCTGATTGAAGAGGCCTCAGCATGTGGGTGGGTAGTAAGTCAAGAGTCATGATGAGGTCCATCATCTAGGGAGTGAGTATGAATAGAGTCCAAGATTGACAGCCTCCATGAGGTAATTTCAAAAGAGTAACAGGGAGGAACTGGAAAAGTGCAGGGAAATTTGGGGATTGTGATGTTTCTCTCAGGGAACACAAAGTAAATGGTGGGGGCTAGAGGGATATGCTGGGCTGAGGGAGGTGATGGGAGTTGTGGTTTCTGTTAGTTACTTTGCTGTTGCTGTGATAAAAACACCATGACCAAGACAAATTGTAGAAGAAAGAGTTTACTTGGACAGTACAGGCCACGGCAGTAGGAACCTGAGAGCTCACACCTTCCATGGCAAGCAGGAAGAGGAGAGAACAAATTAGAAATGGTAGGGAGTTTTGAATCTTAAAGCCTGGTCTCAGCGACTTACTTCCTCTAGCAAGGCTCTACTACCTAAACCTCCCAAAACAGTGCCACCAACCAGGGACTAAATGTTTAAATACCTAAGACTCCGGGGAACATTCCTCATTAAAACCACCTCATGAATGGAGTGGGAAGAACTGCTACAGCTGTAGGTAGAAGTGATCTGCCTTCCTAAGAAGATGGTATGGGGTCTGGGTGGCACCTCTGGTGCAGAGAGGCTATGTTCATTCAGGGAGCTGTTGTCTTGAGAGCATGCTCAGTACAACCTGATGACCAGAGAAAAGGATTGGCAATTAAAGAGACTTCTAGCTATTAGCGTACAGGATTTGAAGAAGGAAGAAAGGTTACTTTATAGAGGGTGATTGTAAAGTCTTTGCTAAGGGAGATGGGCCTGGAGATTGACTTTGAATATATATATATATAAAATTCATTTTATGTTGAACAATTTATATGTTCCAAGTTCACTTTGCCTACTGCCTGCCAGGTTTTCCACATGAAATTTAAAGTCCATTTTTCTTTCTGTTTTTTATTATAAGAAATAAAATATGACTTCTTTCAAATATCTAAAGAACACCTAATGAGAAGTTGTCTGTCCCCAAAGTAACCTTCTCTCTCTCTCTCTCTCTCTCTCTCTCTCTCTCTCTCTCTCTCTCTTCCTAATTTCAGGAGCAGACTCTGGCCCTCAGGAAGGAGGGGATTGGTGTGGTCCTGGACTCTGAGCTGCCTCACTTGATTGGCATTGATGACGACCTTCTGAGTACTGGGATCATCTTGTATCACTTGAAGGTAGAAACTGCTTAAGTGGAACATTCTAATTCTGTTTCCAGATTTCCCCTTAGACTCCAGCAAGGTTTATTAGAATACTTTATGGCCATGAATACAACTATTAAATTAAAGAATATACAACAAATCCTTGAGCCTTTGGGGATTTTCTACAGTTCATTGGGATTCAGTGGTATTTGAAGTTCCTGTTTTTATAGAGTTCTGAAGTTAAATGATGAGTCATCCATTTTGGCTTCTCTTCTGTGGAATCAGAAAAAAAGGAGATAAGAGGGGGAAAAACAGCAGAAAAACCAAGGAAGGAACCAGGATCCAGAACTGGGATTTGTTATGTGCATAATTGCTGATTCTTCCTGGTAATTATAAAATGGACTTTCCTGTTAGACAGTCAGGCTTGGTTCTTACAGTTCCCACTGTTCTACAGAGCAGAGTTCCTTGTCAGTTCTCAAGGATTGCCTCTGTGACCTTGACTTTAATGTGTTCTCTCTGATCTGTGACTCCAAATGAGGTTGTTTTGTCTTGGGTTTTGTGACCTCTCATATCATGCATCTTTGAACACAAAGAAACCCTTGTCCACTGATGGAGGAAATCTGTAGAAAGGATCTGAAGTATCCTTGGATTTGATGGCCTAAGCAGACTGTAAGAACTTGGACTTTTTGAGCAATTTGCCTCTGCATTGGTGCTGGAACTTAGGCCATGTAGGGTACCACTGCAGTGTTCAGTACACAGCTCACTGAGGCCATTGCATGCCCCAGGCCCTGGTCATTCTGTTGCCTGGCAGGTGGAATGTATCAGGATGGAATGCAAAGTGGAGAAGCAGGCTGTCCTTCTGCACTTACTAATGAATATTATTGAATTTTCTTCTCAGGAAGGCCAGACTTATGTTGGCAGAGAAGATGCTTCAACAGAGCAAGATATTGGTGAGATTCTATGAATGATCTCTCAGTGATTTTAAAACACCATATTTAATAAATAATCTTTTTCTTAATTGACATTGTAGTAGTTATAAGAGAAAATGTTGACACATGTTTCTTGGTATATGTATACCTGCAATTTTGACCCCAACTCAATTAAATAGCAAGCACAGATAATTCAATGAAAAAATTAGAAGTATGACTTCTTTTTCCACCCCACATACATTCTCTATCCTGCTAGTATAGTTATTTAAATCATAATACACCTGTCACTCTGTACTTGTCATAGTGATTGATGGAAATAAGCCAGCAGACATGGATAAAGGATCCTAGACCTTTTTAAAGGCAGGATATAGACGGTTCTCTACACAGAGATGATGGCAAAGTATGAGACCCGGGCCACATCAGAAGGCATGGATTTCTCCGTGTCCTATAGTCTTCATAAGGCATACAGCCAGCCAGCAATTCAGCCTGAGAAGATGACAGCCCGCACAGTGTTCTGAGCACCCCTCAGGTAGTCTGTGGTGGAGAATGTGGAGGTAGTTGGTATATACATGCAGAGGGGCACAATGGTGATTGGGGGAAGAGTTACACCACTTCAAGAAACTTTTAGAGTTGTTGGTGAGGAACTTGCTTTTCTATCAAGAATATGCTAATGAGCCCATTGCTGCTCATTTAGTATTTATTAGAGATGGGGAGAGCTGAAAAACCATTCTAGAAGTCCCCAGACTCGAGTACTTTTGAGTCTGCTCTTAGAGCAAGCCCCTTGTTTAAATTATGCATTTGATCTTGGGAGTAGCTGTAAATGATGACAGCTGATAAGGACAATGTTCTCTGACCGGAGACATTCAGTGGTGCAGTTCTGCAGAGAAAGTGGGAGCTGCTCCTGAGAAACTGAGAGGTGCTCACATCTGCCATTGCCAAGATGTTCATAGATAATCAGATAACCATCAGCAATTGGCTGCTCTCAGAGGTCTCAGAAACAGCCCATGCTGTGGCACTGGGCACCTCAGAGAAGCCTCTGGAAGCTTCTAGGACCTCCTGAGGTCTATAACATGCCATGCCTCTGCTTTGTGCTTCTGGAAGCCATTATCTGAAACTACAGAGGTGCTCATGGGTCGTAGAGCCACAGAGGCTTTCTTTTTTGTGTCTCCCTGTGACTGGTGGCAGTTTGTCAGTATTGAGCAGAGAGTCTCAGTAAAGCAAGCTACTCAACTGCATCTTCCTATTAGGAAGAGTAAGCTGCTATGGCAGAGCTCACTGTTACAGGGAGAATAGCCAGAACCTTTAAGGTGACCATCAATGCATGCCTCTGTCTCTGCCACTTGACATTATAGACTCACTAAACATAACTGTCCACAGCACTTTTCTGGAAAAGAAAAGGTGTTCAAAAGGAAAATGAAATAAATAGCCGGGAATTATCATAGCAGACACCAAAGTGGGGACCAACTTTCTCCTTTCTTTTCCTCTTCTAGTCCTTCATGGTCTTGACTTGGAGAGTGAGCACTGTGTCTTTGAGAATGTCGGGGGAACGGTGACTCTGATACCACTGAGTGGGTCCCAGTGCTCCGTGAACGGTATTCAGATTGTGGATGCCACACAGCTAAATCAAGGTACCTGGTTTTGCTTTTCAGAGATCTTGTATATATTGAGAAGCAAGCTGACATTGGGGAGCATATGCATCTTACTGATTAAGGGACACAGGACTGTTTGCCTCCGTGTTTTCTCCTCTGTCTTGCTAGGGAGCTGCTTTATTATGCCCACTGTCTTGTTGAATTAAGCATGACCTATTTATGAATATTTACAACTTTGAGAATTAGCTATTAGAGGACTTTTAAAGTTAAAAAATACCTCTTAGAAGAAAATTTAATATAGTGATTTCCTTTAAGACTTTTACTTCCAATGTTTATGTCCTTCTTATGAGTAGTCATAATTATATTCCCAGGACCGGTATCATGTCTTCTCTTTTAAACAACATCAGTATTCTAAAAAAAAATAAGGTGTGAAAGATAGTGCAGAGCTTTTAAATCGCAGAGCCAGTGAAAGTAACTATTATATGTTAGTCTGCTTTTTTTTTTCCTCTGTAGCTGAATTGATAAGATTATAAAGAAAAAAGGCTGTTCCATTCAGTGTTAGTCCCTTGACTTTGAGTCTGTGGTGAATTAAATCACTTACCTCTTGAAAACAGAAGAGAAGAGGGACACACATTGTAACCATCTGAAGACCTTTCAGAAGACTACGTCTTAACGGTTCCAACTGTTCCAAACTCAGGGGGTCACATGTCTTCTAGGAGACAGTTGGGGTTCCGATTATGATCGTGTCCACTCTTTGAGTACATTGGCGTGTATTTCCTCCACCAGTGAAATTCCCCATTCATCTATAGTATGGTCATACAACTAGAAAACTAATGGTTATACTCAGACCCCATTCAGGTTTTGCTGCCTGCTTCTCATTGATCCAGCATTGTGCATGGTATTGTTGCACAATCTAGAGCAGGTCCTTGATCTTTCTCAGACTTTATGACATTGTTAAGTGTGTGAAGGATGCAGTGTAGGATCTCCCTCTGCTTACATGCAGGATTTCTCTGGTGTTTTTCATAAGTAGACTAATATTGTATTTGTTTGCAGGCAGTGCTGGGGTCAAACTTTGTCATTTCTGACAGCCCTACATTTTTCTCCTCTCCCATCCCAGATTGCCATCTGTCTACTGCTGGTGGCACTCACTCTGGTTTCTTGGTAAAGGTGGAGCTGGCTAGGCTTTTTCACTGGGAAGTTACCTCCCCTGGCTTTGGTTTTAGATAATGCTTTGGGAAGGTAATTTGCTTATTAGTGTTCTTTCCCTTGTCACATGATGATTCACTGTTTCAGAAGCTATTTTTTTAAATTTTGCTGAATTATTATTCTGTGGTTGCAGAAGGTGATTTTCTTATTTCTTCTGCATTTGTCAATTGAAATTTTATTATAAGGAAAAGCTTTCTCTTCTTGCCATTTGTCTATTTATGTATTTAAATGAGTAGAATCATGTAGTTAGGCATTATATTTAGTATTTGCTCTGTCTTGCCTTTATTTATTTGGAATGTTTAAATTGTCTCAGATTTGCCCACTGTGAGTTTCTTCAAGGTGGCTTCTATGTCTTTTGGCTTGACCTCATTATTTTGTGAGCTCTTGCTTACCTTCTGAGGCAAGATATTCTAGACTCACCTTGTACTTTGCTAGAAATGCCCAGTTCTTTAAAGAGCACTATCTAGTGTGGGTTCTGTGTGGAACTTAGCATTTAACTTTGGGTGATTCTTCTCTCCTATACTGCCCTGGAAGGAAAGATCACTAGTTTACTGAGTTTCCAGAAGTTCTTCAGATAGCTGTAATTATGTCTTTAATTCTTTTCTGGATTGAAGCTTGTTGATAAATGTCTCACATGAAGTAATTTTGTTTTATTTCATTTTATACTTTATTTTGTTCTTCTACCTAACTAGATAACTCATTTTAAAATATGCCAGTGTTGGGTAGTGATTCAGGTGAGGAAGTAAACTTTTGATCTTTTAGTCTATCTCAGAAGGGACTTTTGCTAAGAGAGTCATAGAGCTAATTGACATTGAAGACTAATTACAGGACTTGTCTTTCCCTATGGGATGCTCTTAATTTTTTTATTAGCATGGTGCTGTCATGATGTCCAGATCCAGTGGGCTTGAGTTCTGTTGTATTTGGAGCTGCTGAACCGCTCCACCATATTTGAAGATGTAAGAGCATTGTGCACAGAGTATAAACGCCACTAACAAGCACCAGGGCATCAGGGCAGAGGAATGCTGGATGGCATTGAGAGCAAGGCATTGCAAGAGAGTAGTAAGATGACAACTTTTTTTTTTCACCTAGGCTCTCTTTCTTTAATGTATATCCTGTCCATGGTAAAACAGCTGCAGTCTTTCATAAATTAAGGAGTAAAATTATCTACTTTGGCTTGCTTGGTGTTTGTATATTTTTAAAATGAAAACTGAAACATATTTTTAAAGTACAAAGTGATATGATAAATTGGAGGTGTGTGAATATATGTAGTGATAATAAAAAGAAGTAAATGGGACTGACACATCCCTCCTCCAGATTATCTTCCCTGCCAGAGAGGAAGGAGGCAGGTTTGGAATTTGTATACAAGGATCATAGACTATCTCAATAAGCATTTCATTTTTTTTAAAAGCCTATTGTAAAGTGTAGAAAAAATGGACTTCATTAAAAACAGAAAAAAATGGAGAGCAGGATTAAATAAAACAGTATTGTTATACTAAAAAAGTCTCTCTTGGCTTTCGCCCATGAAGTGGCTTTTTAAAGTCAGTTCTGCAGAGCATTTCTGCACGGTCCTGCTTAGGTAAGTTTTGCAAAGTCGGGTGTTTTGAATTAATTTTTGGCAGCCAAGCCTCTTGGAGATGGATCTTGGGGTAGCTGGACAGCTGCTGTATTAGTACAGAACACTGAAAAAATTATAGCAGCCCATTCATTATCCCTCATTATCATTCATGCTTTTACCCTCTGAAACCTTAACTTGTATATGTTGTTAAATCTTTTTGGCTTTCCAAGCCAAGCATAGGTTCTATCCTTAGCCCTGAAGATGCTGAAGTCCAGGCCACTTGGGTCTCCCACACCTGTTGCCCTAACTTCAGTCTCTGGCTTACTGTAGTGGTTATTGGTCTATCATCCCTCCTGGCCCATCTTTCTTGGTCTTCAGAATTGGCCTGGTACGTAAACTATTAATTGGATTCATGAAAGACTTAACAATTTTGTAACAGTTCTCTGCTTTTAGAACAAAAGGGATCTAGGACAGAAAACACAGATGGATGTCAACCCACATCGTAATGATGTCTTACCACATTACCCTCCGTTGACTGCATCCCAGGTTCATCTTCTGTTACTCATGCCTCCTCCCCTATCTTCACCAGTTCCAGCTTATTGCTGATATTCGGTATTCAGCTGTCTCTTCATTGGTAAATTACTTTCATTTGGAAATGTGCTAGGCTGGGCCATTAAAAAAGCACAAGTAGTAATTACAACTTCCTTATCTAAATCACTTAACACACTCGAATGCCAACTAATAGATTTGTCTAAATTTAGAAGGTTGTCACCATTAGGGGCAAGGGTGTCTTTTTTCTTTTTTTTCCTTTTCTTTTTTTAACATTTTTAACTTGTGTCAGTCAACTGCCTTTCAAATAGCATAGGGCCCCCCCTCTAAAATAATAGAAAAGGTTTTCATCCTTTAGCATTGTCAGTAAAATGAAGAGTGTTTGCTGGAACTGTAAGCATGAATAGGATAGAATTATCCTTGTGTATTGTCTGATGCCTGTCATAAGACACCTTCCCCTTCATCTTCAGAGCTAAACATATCCATCTCTTAATGTGTACTCAGAGTTCAGTTCCCCTGCCTCTCGTGATCACATGTTAGCTCTATAAAATGAGTCCATAGAAAGGAAAAGGTAAATACTTGACCATGATGCCTTATCCAGAGACCACAGCTTTTCTTAGGAGTCTAAGCTTCTAAGTCTTCCAACTCCAGCCACCATACATTTAATAAGAAATGACACAATAATCAAGTGTTTTGTAATTCAGGAAATACTTCAGCATTGTCTTGGAATATCTAGAAACTAGTCCTTCTTATTTAAATTATTTTTTTGCTGTAATATATATTTTTCATGCTAGTCACTGTTAAATGTAATTAATTTTTACCTTTGTGTCAGTGGACACCTTTGCTCTTCTTGCTAGTCTGTCAGATCCATTGAACATTCGTCTTTCATTTTAGAAGTGCTACAGAAACTGCATCTTGGAAATTCACACTTAGGTGCATTTGAATGTGATATGCTTGAGTGCCAAAATATATTTGCATTTATTCAAGTACCCTGAAAGAGGGAACAGGTGATTGTCTGCAGAGTGGAGCTGAGGAGCCTTTGATAAAATTTTCATCTGCTGGAGGGCTGCTGTGAGTTGCTCAGTGACAAATTAAAAAGGAATTTTATTGGAACTAGAAAGGAAAATAGATCTTTGAGGGTTGAACCACAGTATCCAGCTAAGGCAAAGAATCTGTATGCTACAGAGGGCTGGGAGATAGGAATGTCTATTCCTTGTGGGCTCCCATATACTGACCTGAGCAATCCTCAGATGCCTTCCTCTAGTTAGAGACCTGAAAATTGAGATTTTTTGTTTTTTGAATGTCAAAGCCCAAGCTATTTTTAAAAAGAGAATGGTTTTCCAAGTGTGTCCCAGGTCAGTGACATCAGCATTACCTGGGAGCTTATTAGATACACAGATCCCTAAACCCTCTGCTGCAAAAGATCTAGGGATGCGGCCCCAGGGATGTGAGTCTTCATGTTTAGAAGTAATTGTGATGCATGCTTCTGCGTGAGAGCAGCTGACAGAAACTAGTCATACTGAAATCAAATTCTTGACACCCTGGACATTGGCAGAAAAATAACTGTTTGCCTGTCTCTACTCCTTTCTTTTCTGTTTCACTTGTCATACCTATTTTTCAGTCTCTCTGATCCTTTCAACAACTTCTGTTTCATGTTGCCTAAGATGGCTTTACAGTGAATCTTGCCATGATTTCTTCAAGTTTACCAGTTTGGAATTTACTGAGCCTCTGAATCTATGGATGTCTGTCTATCTTTAGAGTTGGGAAGTTTGCAATGATGATTTGTTTAAAAACATTTTTCCTGGAGTTGGGAATTAGCTCAGTGGTAGAGCGCTTGCCTAGCAAATGCATGGCCCTGGGTTTGTTCCTCAACTCCGGGGGGGAAAAAAAAAAAAAAGAAAAGAAAAGAAATTTTTCCTCTACTATATACACTTCTCTTTCATTCTGGGTCTCCAATCACATAAAAATCAGATATTTTAGTTCTTTTGATGCACCAATTTGCTGTCTAGTTTGAGTTTTCCTCCATTGCCACCTCCTGCTATGATGCTCATCCCGCAAGGCTTTTGTTTGTCTTATTGTTGTGATTCTGGGTCACAACATTTGGTTCTTCTTTTTATATTTTATCTCTTGTTGAATTTTTAATTTTCTTTTTGTTTTAAAGTTGAAATACTTGTTTAAATATGTTTATGACTGCCAACTCAAAGATCTCAGCCTTAGCTTATATTGTTTTACCAGCTCATTGACATCTTCCAGATTCTTCCTTTGTTAAGGAAGTAATAATAATGGTTTGAATCTGGAAACTTCTGAGCATTTTGTTAAAGGACAGTGTGTTTCATTGAAATTTTCTGATGGTAAATGGAGATGTTGTCTTCCAGTGCGCATGTTTCCT